TCACAGGCCGTAGTCGCTTAGCAAAAATGTTTCTGTGTGGTGGCAGCATACAAACACTTACTTTTTATGAAGATTGTTTGAACGGCAGACACTACAGTAATATGGGGTGGTGGGGTTGCCCAGTGGTTAAAGCGTTTGCTCATCACGTCAAAGACCTGGTTCGATTCCCCACATGGGTACAATGTGTGAAGCCCCTTCAGGTGTCCCCACTATGATATTACTGGAATATTGCTTTACTGGAATATTGGTAAACTCGGCATAAAACCCAACTCACTCACTCACTCTGGACATACGTCCCCACTTCATGAACACCTGGTGTCTTTATTGATTATCAGTGATCCATTACTCTAATGTTCAGTGGGACCGCCTCCGTGGTGTAGTGGTTAGAGCGTCCGCCCGGAGAGTGGAAGGTCGCGGGTTTGATCCCCGACCGCGTCATACCAAAAGACATTAAAATATGGTACTTGTTGGTCCCTGCCTGGAGCTCGACACTAATGGGTACAACAAGGACTGGTCGGCTCGGAGTCAGTATAATGTGTCTGAGTGGGGTATTCATGATTCACTGCGGCATGGTATCTCAGTGGGCTAGCACTATAAAACCAGCTTAAGTCTGGGCTAGTACAAGCAGCCACACATACACATACACACGCATGCACGTCGTCATATTAGCAAAATATTCTCAAGCACGACGTAAAACACAATTTCACCTCACCTAATGTTCAGTGGTGTTTTCCAATGTTTTTGCAATGGAATCTGTTTTAGTTGATATAGGAGACTGGTTATTCCATGGTGTGTGTTTTATTAAATATTTTATTGAATTTAGATTCTCACAGAATGCTTCCTGGATATAATAAATCATGTTGATGGCCTACAGAACCTATTGCTCGTATTGAGTTGCTGACCATTAACCAGTCGTTCAACATTTGCAAGCAAAGTGCTTTAACTCTTTTAACCTTCAGGATGGTCATTTTAAACCCATTATCGCAACAATTCAGTTCTCCTTCAGTGTTCAAACACACGGCAACAAACACATGTCCATTATCATGATATTTGATTTTTCAAAATCCACTAAAGTTTGCAAAATAATTTTTTAACATTCGATCGCAGTCATTTTTTATGTCTTCAATGACATTTCCCAATGGATGCCCCAAATATCTTCTGTTTAGACATCAGCTGAGACAAGTCTGTCAATTTCGATATTTCCTCATTCTTGTTTTTTGTTGCTACTGCTGCTACAAATGATAGTGATTGACATATCTGGTATGTTAAGATTCAAGTTCAGAAGGACAAAACCTCAACTATCATATTGGGACACAAATCTGTTGATAATTGTTTTGCCCCTTTCTGAGTATTAAGCTATCAGATTGAGTGCTTCTTCTTTAAGTAAAATCACCATTTTCGAATGTTTCCATGTTGTTAACATCAATCACAGTTTGTTTTTCTTGAACTTAAAAATACATTTTTGTCATTTTGGAAAATAATCCTGGTCCATTTTTCTCCCTAATGTACATCATCTAAAAATGAATGATATGTTCTTCGTTTGAATCTTGATTGAAAAGATGTAAAATCTCTTTGACAGTGATCATTTTGGTGAAAGAAATGTCACAAATTGCATGTCATTTTTAACAAAACAGGTAAAAAGTGTTTTTAGCTGTTTTGTACTGTGTTTCAAATGTAGTCTCAAGGCCATCATATTTGACAACATTTTAAAACTTTTCAAAGTTGTTTGCGATATTTTTGATGTCATCTATGTAATGACGAGAGATTAGGGCATACTGTGATTGTTGAAAAATGTTTGCCATCATGAGAGTTTCTAGTGTCACCACTTTGAAATAATTGTGTTTGGTTGTGATATAGGGAGGCGTATATAGGTTGACATTTGGTATCAATATTGATGACTTTAATATTTGACCAACGATGATGATCCCTTTCAGTGACAGATGTAGTCCAAGTTGGTCTTCTGTCGAGGGGAATGGTGTTGTCTTGATTGGCCATTGTGGATTGTACATGTCATCTGTGAGCGAGTGAATAGCTCTGAGTGTTGCCATGAAATGACTGTTTGACAGATGCAATATACACCATTATTACAGTGATATTGTTAGAATGATAGTAATCAGAGAACGCGCTGGTCACTAAACCCATGAATACAAAGGGGAGGGCCATCGCTCGTACTTCATCATCTCTTTCAGCGTGTCAGTTGTGTTTAAAGACGCTTTAAGTAGTACTATCTCAGTGATATCATGGATGTCAGGGTGGGAGGGAAGCCCTAAGTGATGCCTGTCTTAGACGTTTAAGACAGAAAATATTACCATGACACACTTAGAAACATTATCAGCTCTAGGGCTGTAATGAATCCAGTATGAGGCGAATATGATACATTATAATCACAAGGGTTTTGCGCAATAAGCAAATGTAGAGAATGGACAGAAAAAAAATTCACTGCTTCCAGCTTTTCACACAATATTATTGAGTGTACCCACAACACATCTCTGACTTTGCTAAGTGTTGAACAAACCCACTTGCCTATGGGGAGACCACACGTGTGCTTTGTTGTGGGGCAGGACTGAAGTCCTAGAAACTCTCTGGAGTCAAGCTGTCAAACACTGTCATCCATGCAAAGACTCTCCACGCCCAACGTTGCTTAACTTCAACTTAAATGTGACCTGGGCTCTATGCACAGGACCACACACCACACACCACACCACACACCAAACCACACCACACCACACACTCCACACCACACCACACAACACTACACTACACAACACACACACTACACACCACACTACATAGCACACACCACAGCACACCACAACACACACCGCATCACACTACACACAGCACACCACAACACACAACACCACACAACACACACACTACACAGCACACCACTCCACACACCACACCACATCACACTACACAACACATCACACACCACACAACACACACCACACCACACAACACAACACACAACACCACCACACACCACACCACACCTCACCACACCTCACCACACCTCACCACACCACCATTTTGTCACTTTTACAGATGTTACTTAGTTGAATCTCGTTCTATTCAGCCAGTGTTCGTTCCATCCAACAGGGGTGTACGTTATCCACTTCTCCACAAAAGCTGCTAAACAGAATTGATTGAGCTTCTATGTGTGTTTCATTGGAACTCTAATGGTGTGCATCTCATACCTTGTTCATCCAATTTCTTAATTTTGTCACTTCTACAGATATTTGAACTTGAATTGGCTCTATTCATCCAGTTCGTCCAATACAACAGGGGGTGTACTTTATCCACTTCTCAAAAACCACTGCACAAAACTCATTTAGCTTACATATGTCTTTTATAGAGACTCTAAAGGTGTGCATCTCATATTTTGTTTTCGTATTTTATAATTTTTTGTATGTTTAGAGAATTTTGAACTTAGATAAATTTTCCTGAATTTCTCTCTGATGATAGGGAAATAGGGGATTAAGTCTATCCACTTCTCCACAAAAACTGCTCAACAGAATTGATTAAGCCTATACATGTGTTTCATTGAGACTCGAAAGGTGTGCATGTCATAGTTGCATAGATGTTTATTGAACTTGTTCGTGAATGTTGTTCAATTATTGATCTTTATATGTCTTATGAATGTCAGCGGGGGCATCCGTGTCCCTGGACACAATTTTTTCTTGTTAGAGATAATGTCAACCTCTGACAACAGAGATATAAAAAGTACATCCTGATGGTACAGTGACTGAATTCAGGGCAAAAACTGAGCATTAATCGAGACAGTTTAGTTCTCAAATAACATTTCTGCAAACACAATAAAACCTATAAAAACAGATTCATACATTGGAGGTCTTTTACACTGTACATGGTGTTTTGCTCATCTGGCTTTAGGGTTATTTCATAAGTATCATCTGTCAGCATCGTTTTAGAGGATATGGTGACTGCCTTGAGAGATGAAGATTGGTGGCTTGATTTCTGGAACAAAAGAATGTGTGAATAGGTGTAGGACAGCTGATGTGGTGCAAGGCAGTTATTTCTCACTCATACTGAAAGATGGTGGTAGATGGTAGATGTTGTCTAGCCTGGTCAGCTCGGGGTCAGTATTCCGTGTGTTCTGAGTGTTGTATCAAAATGCAATGTGGTATCTCAGTTGGATGGCACTATAAAAACTGATACTACTCTAGACCAACAAGCCACCCACACCCCACCCCACCCCCACCCACACCCACCCCCACACTCCCACCCCGGCTTTCACCCACCCCCCACACACCTGTGCATGTTATTCTCTCTCTCTCTCTCTCTCTCTCTCTCTCTCTCTCTCTCTCTCTCTCTCTCTCTCTCTCTCTCTCTCTCTCTCTCTCTCTCTCTCTCTCTCTCTCTCTCTCTCTCTCTCTCTCTCTCTCTCTCTCTCTCTCTCTCTCTCTCTCTCTCTCTCTCTCTCATTCATACATCCACACAACACCCACACAAGAATGATCATGATTAATTGTTGTTCACCTGGGGGTAAAAGTGAGTCTTGCTCAAATTTTTCAGCTTGTTTTTATAGAAGTCAGTGAAACTTGCTCTCCTTTACTTGACAAACACCCCCACACTCTTCTGAAGGTGATACAATGGAACAATCACAAATAACTGGCAATGTGAAAGGTCATCGTTGCAGCATGTGGCACATGTAATATACCTTCAGTACATAATGAGATATCACTGCAAATGACACAAGTAATACCAGACCCAACACAAAGCAGTAACTTTGCAAATGACACATGTTACCAGGGGCTCCTTTCACGAAGCAACCTTTACTAAGGTTAACCTTAACTCCCATTCTTTAACATTGCACTAAGGTGTAAGTCACTAAGGTTACCTTAGTGACTTACGATCACCTTAGTGCTTTGTGAAAGGAGCCCCAGTAAATGAGAAAACCCAGTAAAATATTCTTTATAACCAAGTGAGGTTAAAAGTCCATTCAGATATATCGTCACAAGAATGATATTTCTTTTCAGGCAGTTTTCCAGAAAGGATGGCACCATCGTCACAAGTGGTTTGTAAGCTGGCTGTCAAGATGAATGGTATGTTTGACCTTATGACCTGCATATGATGTCGACTTAGTACTAACTACCTAAAGCATGACTTTAATGTAACACATCACATGCTTTAGGTGAATGTGTATAATGTATCAGGGTTTCAGTAACAGGTTTCATGTTGGCACATGTTTAACTGTTGTGAACATCAGTATTATTAATGGTATCTTTGATTTCCCACGTCTGATAATTATCCAAATGCCAAGGGCAGAATCTATGGTCATTGGTATCAATTCTGAATGCCGTGTTTAGATCAGAAGATGATATGTCAATTATGGCCTGATTGTAGGATTGATTTGAATGTTTTAATCACTTTTCTCTATTTTTTCAGGACTGGATCTTTGTCAACAATATCGTGTTTCCCAACTGAGATCTTCCTTTTATTACTTGTCAACTTGACTTCTATTTCAGCAACTTGCACATACACAAACATACATTTTGTCTATTATGCAATATTGTGAGAGATCATACTGTTTTGTTGAATATTTTGTATTTATGTATTATATGAACAAGTGGATTATGCATGTATATGTCTGATTTATTGTTTGAAAATTTCCTTTAAAATTGAATCTTAAAAAAAGCAAAAAAGATACTCTGAAATATAAATATGCCTTCTGGGTACTTGTTTGAAAGGAAATTTTCAGATATTATCAATGAATACTTTATTTGACCTTTTTATTGCATTTGATGTGGTTTTTGTTTACAAATATGTTACACTGTGTTATCCTAGGTATGTCAGCATCCATATGCTGGTATGAGGAGTTGGGGAGCAGAGGCTGTTACAGCCTTAGTGAAAGCAGCGCTTATGTTCAAATATGACCCACCGCTGCATGGCAACCTTGTAAGTATATAAACATTTATATATCATGTCAGTTATAACACCCCTTTGAATACCAATACTTGTGGTTGAAGGGTTCAAGAATAAACACCCTGAGAATTTATACTTCGAATAGGCCAAAACAAGCTGTGCTGGTTGTAAGAGATGGATTGGGTTGTCAAGCTGTGTGACTTTGTTTACAGGACCCCGTGCAGGTCCGGGTTAGAATTGATCTTCAGTAATCCATGTTTGTCATAAGAGGCGGGGTTGGTGGGGTAGCCTAGTGGTTAAAGTGTTGGCTCGTCATGCCGAAGACCCGGGTTCGAATCCCCACATGGGCACAATGTGTGAAGCCCATTTCTGGTGTCCTCCGCCGTGATATTGTTGGAATATTGCTAATAGTGGCGTAAACTAAACTCAGTCAGTCAGTCATAAGAGGCGACTAACAGGATCGGGTGGTCAGACTCGCTGACTGGGTTCACACATGCCATCGTTTCCCAATTGCGTAGATCGATGTTCATGCTGGTGATCCCTAGATTGTCTGGTCCAGACTCGATTATTTACAGACCGCCGCCATATAGCTTGAATATAGCTGAGTGCAGCGTAAAACTCACTCACTCACTCACTCACTTGGTTGACAATGTGTGGATGGTTGTTCACAATATCAATCACTTGATTGTTGTCCCCCGCCGCAACGTGGAATGGGGACTATGTATTCAGCAGCGTCCATACGTACGTACGTCCCTATTCTTGTTAACGTGATATCTCATGAACTGTTGTACCTGATTTGGTGACAGCCTACATTGGGGGATTACGCAGACAAGAGTTGAGCTTGGTGACCTTGACCTTATTTTCAAGGTCACCATGACACTTTGACCACTTTTCAAACTTATTTAAACGTGATATCTCATAAAACATTGCACCCAATGTCTTCAGTTATGTTGACAGCCTACATTGGGTGATTATGCAGACACCAGTCATTTCAGGCATCTTGTATGTGACCACAAAATAAAAAGTAGTAAATATGTTATAAATATTTCATTCTTCTTTAGCGGCGGGGGACATTGCGATATTAGTGGCAAACACTTGTTTTACCTTAAGTTCATTATTTACAGTCCTTCAACCTGTAGCTGAAAAATTGCCATGGCATTGAACAAATAGCAAACATGTTGACTGCATAAGCCACTGTAGCCCATAGCATAAGCTGTAGCAAAACATGAACTGCATGCTTGTTTCCAAGTTATATAATAAGATCTATAAATAAATTGTTTTTGTCATTACCATTTATTGAATAGTTTTCAGCTTGCTTATAGCAATAAATAGTCTCATTTGAGGAATTTGTTTCCTTGAATGCAATGTTTGGTGTTCAGTAAAATTTATGTATTTCCGTTATCTGGGACTTTAAAAAGATACACATCGTTTTCATTGTTTATGCACAGAGAAGTCATTGTTAGATTTGTCTTAGAATGTATTTTGTCTTGTGGTTGATTTCTTGTAAGATTTCATCCACATGGCACAGAGAGGGTTCATGGTCAAAGGGAGATAACTATGTAGATCTTATTTTTTCCATAAAAGCTTTTCTGCTTGTAATTTATCAAGTATCAACATATTAAATTCATTATCAAAATTTTTATGTGCACATTGATAATAGTAATGTGTGCCTTTTATAATTTCACTGATTATAAAAATATATTCAGAGAAATGTTGTTTCTTAGAAGTTTTGAACAAGCTTTAGAAGCTCCAGTAAAATCCTGCATACATGTTGGTGTGTGAGTTTTGTTTTATGCCACTGTTAGCAATATTTCAGCAATATCACAGTGGGAGACACCAGAAATGGGCTTAACACATTGTACCCATGTGGGGAATCGAACCAGGTGTTCGGCTTGACAAGCGGATGCATTAACAACAAGGCTATCCACCTCCCTCCTACTCAGTCTCGTCACGATATGGCTGAAATATTGCCGATGTGACGTTAAATATTAACTCACTCACTCACTCCTACTCAGTAATTTCATAAAGCACAAATAGCCTGTACCAACTACCTGAAATGGAAATCAAAAAGAGGAAAAAGAAATAATAACCATTTAGATATAGGATGAAGCAGAATAAGTATTTTTTTGTACAACTGGACATGTCAGTTTATAGTTACGGAGACTTTTGAATTATTAAAGTTTTGAGTCACTGGTTGACAGCTAATGTTTTTACTGACTTAAATTGAGATGTTTGAACTTCATGATCAAATGCATCATGGCTGAAATTAGTGAACTTATACTTCAAGAGAAAATGGAACAGTGTCCTGAGATGATGTTATTTGAGTGAGTGAGTTTGGTTTTACGCCGCTATTAGCGTATTTTCAAACAATATCACGGCGGGGGACACCAGAAATGGGCTTCACACATTGTAACCTTGGGGGAATCAAACCCGGGTCTTTGGCGTGACGAGCGGACGCTTCAACCACTAGGCTACCCCATCGCCCCTGATGTTATTTGAAATGTTTGTACTCTCATTATTGTACATTTTTTTATGTAATAAAAACTGTGGCTGTCCCTTGCTGGCATCAACAAAGTGACACATTTACATTGAGTTACACTTGAATGCATCGTCATGCCAGTTTCCCTGCAAGGGTTTGCCCTGATTCAGAAATCTTGCATAATTGCCGCTATCTGTGTTGAAAATACCCAGGTTCATTTTGACTCTGATGATAAGTGACATTATCATCTCCTTAACTGTTGGGTGTGGTGGGGTAACCTTGTGGTTAAAGCGTTGGTTCGTCAGTCCGAAGACCCGGGTTCAATTCACCATGTGCGTAAAATGTTTAACCCCATTTCAGGTATTCCCTGCTATGATATTTGTGGAGTATTGCTAAAGGCGGCGTAAAACCATACTCACTCAATCCTCAACTGGGGGTGGTGGGATAGCCTTGTGGTTAAAGTGTTCGCTCGTCATGCTAAAAGACCCAGGTTCAATTCCCCACATGGATACGCTGTGATATTGCTGGAATATTGCTAAAAACAGCGCAAAACTAAACTCACTCACTCTCTCCTCAATTGTGCTCACAAGTTTCACCCAAACTGTACCTGTGAAGTACCTACTTAAACCCAGGCTGCCTCAAAACAAGCTGACAGGCAGTGATGTGACTGAAATATTGTTTAAAGCAGCGTAAAGGGGCACTGTTTGTTTCTTTCTTTCTTTCTATTTTGTTTAACACCGCACTCAGCAATATTACAGCTATGAGTGAGTGAGTGAGTGAGTGAGTTTAGTTTTACGCCGCACTCAGCAATATCCAATCTTTATGGCGGCGGTCTGTAAATAATCGAGTCTGGACCAGACAATCCAGTGACCAACAACATGAACATCGATCTGCACAACTGGGAACCGATGACATGTGTCAACCCTATCCTGTTAGTCGCCTCTTAAGACAAGCATGGGTTACTGAAGATCAATATTCTAACCCGGACCTTCACGGGTCTACAGCTACAAGGCAGCAGTAGGTAAAGAATCAAGACTGGGCCAAACAATAAAGGGGTACTGATCTAGAGCAATTCCCAGGGACTGCTTGTTGCTTTTGTTATTGTTTTTCTGTTTGTGGGTACAAGGATGATATTTCAGAATTCATAACCTGTTCCCAACCTCTGCTGTGCCAACTGTAAGCACAAATGATAGTATAAGGACTTATCCACACATTGATCAACGATGAAATACAATTTTTGTCTTAGAATTAATTCGGAAATGTAGTCATTTTTTTCCCTTAATTTTTCAGTTATTTTCCAAAATGGCTGCCAATATGGCCATCTACTTACCGTATATGACCGTCTATAAGCCGAATTTTGAGGACCAAAAAAAGCAGTCTGTAGAAGGGGGTCGTCTTATCCATGAGTTACACTTTCGTCAAACTTTTTTCCAGGGGTAAGAAAACAACATCGTATCACTTCGAGGGAACAAACAACAGAAGACGACTTTGTCAGTAGAGACGTCAAATTTGCAATTAAACATCACTAGACAAGATTATTTACCATTTAAGTTATAAGTTGTTTTTGCTGGGCATTGTTTTATTTGCAGGGATTAAGATTACCGTGCGTATTTGTCTCGTACACAAAGCCGGAAATAGCAATCAGCTGTGCACATGTTTCCGGCTAACAAGTTCAAACATGCACAATAATATAGCGGGGCCTAATTCTGACGCAGTCATCAGTAAAATATAACCCATAATACCGTTATTTAACCCAAAGAAATATATCCTAGCATTGTGTAATTTTAGTTACAGTTTTTGCTCTATAAATTAATTAAGATTACCGTCATGTATCTGTCTCGCATTACACAAAGCGGAAATAGCAATCAGCTGTGCACACGTTTCCCTTGAACAAGTTCAAACATGCACAATAATATAACGGGATGAATTCTATTGATTGAATACTATTATTTAACCCAAAAAAATATATCCTAGCATTGTGTAATAGTTTTTATGTAAAAAATATATAATCAACACTAAGGTTATACGGACCATCATGAGCGTGGTAAGCACATTGACATGGAAGCAGGCGGTAATCAGTTTGTGATTGTTGAATGGGGTAAAATAAGCAAGCCAGTTTGTTGCTACAATAAATATGATATTTAGAGAAGCAAAATATATTATGCATTTTCTGTCAACTACACTTCGTTTCGATCCGTGAGTAGACACAATATATATGACAGTGAATTCTTTGAATAATGTGGATCGACAGTGACACGGAATTTGATGGGTTTACGGCCGATGACTTGTGAAAATCTCAGAACTCTCTTGCAGAAATGTCAGTGTTTATTGTTAGTGGACTATTTTTCTTATTGTCATATATATATAGATGAAATATGGACACTTAAATAATATATTTTGAAACAAAAGTTGACTTCAGTTTTTATTTACCGATGGTACTTTTTCACAAAATGGCGTCTCGTTGTTGATGCAAGCAGTGATCTTCGGGATATAAAAAGGAACACAAACACATGTTGCCACAATACACCGGTAATCTTTATTATGTAATATTCTCACCAACACTTACGCTGTATATCCACTTTCCAAATGGCGTCTCGTTGTTGATGCAAGCAGTGATCGTTAAAAAAAGGTAAACAAACACCGGTAATCTTTATTATGTAATATTCTCGTAATGGTGTCTCGTCGTTGATGGAACATACTTACCGGGTACTCTGGTCTCTGTTGGCCGCGACCCATCGCGGGGGGTCGGCCTATCCATGAGAGATATGATTTTGACACTGATTTTGAGGGTCAAGTTTGGGGGTCGGCTTATAGACGGTCATATACGGTAATTATGATAACTACTCTAAATATTTTGAATTTCAGTTTCATCTTCTATTGACAAAAAGTGTTACAACTGAATGGAAACGGAAGTCTGGTTGTTAAAGTTGAATAAATGTATTGAAACTCGCACTTTGGCATGCATACATGTGTATAAACATTGTCTCAAGTTTATGTCCGCCATCCTCACAAAATAGTAGCCCAGTCTCATGTCACACTCAGTTTCATCCATCATCGTCTCATTGCGGCTAATGAGACCTTGGTGGCAGTGTTAGGCTGCTGAGTTGATTCCATAGATCCGTGCCCCATTAAAACCAAACTCACTCACTCACTGACAGTCCTTAACTATATTATTAGAGTGTGGTAATTCAAGTCCAGACTCACAACCAAGTGATATTTCTGGTTGCATTAAACAAAATTGATGTTTTTTGGCTAAATATCTGTGAATTTTTAATTTTGCAGAAGCTGCAGTCTACCATCATGGTGCCGCTCCAGGAGTTGTCCGTGATCAACCAGGGCGACGTCAGACAGAAACAGCTGGACTGTGTCCATCAGATCCTTCACAACAATGGTGACACCCTGTCTCACGGCTGGCCTCTCATCCTGGGTGTCATCGGCGCCGTCAACAACCAGCAGGGGTAGGTATAGTGTTGTGACTCTCTTACCCGGAGGTCCATATACCCAGCATAGTGCCTCTACCACAGGCAGGGGTAGGTATAGGGTTGTGTACTCTCCTACCCGGAGGTCCATATACCCAGCATAGTGCCTCTACCACAGGCAGGGGTAGGTATAGGGTTGTGCACTCTCCTACCCGGAGGTCCATATACCCAGCATAGTGCCTCTACCACAGGCAGGGGTAGGTATAGGGTTGTGCACTCTCCTACCCGGAGGTCCATATACCCAGCATAGTGCCTCTACCACAGGCGGGGGTAGGTATAGGGTTGTGCACTCGCCTACCCGGAGGTCCATGCAGCCACCATGTGGCAGTAATGTTATGCTAATGGTTGTGCCTACCAGAAAGTGTGAGTTAATATACTCAGTTTATGTGTCCCATCCTACATCTTACCAACATACCTCCCGCCATGGAGAGCGGAAGGTCGCGGGTTCGATCCCCGACCGCGTCATACCAAAAGACATTAAAATATGGTACTTGTTGGTCCCTGCCTGGCGTTCGGCATTAATGGGTACAACAAGGACTGGTCGGCTCGGAGTCAGTATAATGTGTCTGAGTGGGATATTCATGCTTCACTGCGGTATGGTATCTCAGTGGGCTAGCACTATAAAACCAGCTTAAGTCTGGGCTAGTACAAGCAGCCGCACATACACATACACACACATGCACGTCTTCATATGAGCGAAATATTCTCAAGCACGACGTTAAACCCAATTTCACCTCACCTCACCTCCCGCCATGATATTGCTGGAATATTGATAAAACTGACAAAAAGCCATACTCACTCACTCACCCATCAACCCACTACCAAAATACCTACTCAAGGATTTACATGGAGTCCTGTATTTGAGGGTCCCTGGGACTCATACTCTTAATTTCCAGGGGTCTTGGGCAACAAAATGGGGGTCCCAGACACTTAAATATTATTATTAATACTGTTATTGTATTGTGTATCATGATCATCACATTGTTACAGTAATTATATTGCAAATAATACCATAATCCAGCTAGTTGCAAACTCAGTGATAACTTATTGTCACTTGATTGGAATTTTTACAAAATGTATTTGGAGTTTTTCTGGGTCCCTGTGGATGCGCTAATATATTTGGTTGCGTCCATTGTCAATTTTTATGCATATAGAACCAGTGTAGGAAAGATGTAGAAAATCTAGCCTGTCCACAGGACTGGCTGGTCAAATTTTTTACCAGTCCTGCCAAAATCTAGCCTGTCCTCCTAATATAAATAAAACACCATTTCAAGACTTAAAACTGGTTTGTTTTATTTTAAGCTATAATTTAATATGCACACACAGAGCTTGGACTGTTAAAACTCTCCTAGTGGAATCATCTGATTATTCTAGTATCCTTTGGCAGTAAATATTCAAAAAGGTTATAATATAATAATGATTATGTCATTGGTTTGCTAAAACTGACCTGACATGAGGACGGACCAGATATTTTTTTAACCCGTCCTCCACAAAATTCACCCGTCTCGGACGTTGGGACGGGCTATCTTTCCTACACTGATAGAACACAGGAATTGGCGTCCTGTATATCCCTGGCCTACTGTAATCTCCCAGTCAGTACACTGAGTCGGGTATTTGCAGGTCAGGGAGTAGTCCCAACTTCTATAAGCTGCCATTTTGTATATACAGTCGAGCACCGTTGTCTCGATATTTATGGGACCAAGAAAAAATATCGAGTTATCCGAACTTCGAGACATCCGACCAGGGCATATCATCACATATCATCACATATCACTATGAAAGAAAACAAAATGCTTCTCAGTATGTATTGATTCAAAACTATAATCCGTTATCAGTAGTGTTTAGTCGTAACAGTGAGTACTTCCTAATTAATTCCTTCTTAATTAATCCTAATTAAAAAACAACCAGATGACACCTTCAACTCATTTAGCCCTAATTAGTTTACACTACCACATCCCTTTGATTCATGTGTGAACGTGTGTAAACAACCTTGTTGGAATCATGATATTATATCAAGATATCTGAAATATCGAGACATCCGTATCGAGTTAAAAGAGCTTGAATAATGATAAATTATGAAGGATTTTGCTGGGACTGAGATGTTATATCGAGACAGCCGAGATATTGAGTTATCAGAGTTGAACACAACGGTACTCGACTGTATTATGATACTGCCAAAGTATTTTCATTTCCTATGTTTTCATGGTTGGTTTCAGGGAAAAGCTGGTTCAGATGGCATTCCAGTCGCTCCAACTCGTGGTGACGGACTTCCTACCCATAATCCCCAGCATCTATCTGCAGGTGTGTGTGGACGTTGCCGCTAAGTTCGGTCTGCAGAACCAGGAACTCAACGTCAGCCTCACTGCCATCGGGCTGCTGGTATGTGGATTTTGTGAAGTTCACTGAGATCTTCTTTCAGGCTCTGTCTAAAAAGACTTGTTGTCAGCCGACATCTTTCCAATCTGTTTGTTGAAAACTTGAATCACATTCGCCAAATACAACCACTTGCTGCAATACCCTAGTCTCTCATATAGACCCTGAAGCAAATATATCCAAGAAAGCCCACGGAAGTCTAGAAAATGTGGCAAGTCTAGATTTCCACAGCTCCGAAAATGAAGAAAGTCTCAGGGTTCCTTTTCATAATATATTTTTTTTTTACTATGAACTTTTTTTATCCCCCGCAACGCATTTTGCAGGGGGGTTTTAAAATGGACTCCGTCCGTATGCGTGCGTGCGTGCGTGCGTCCGTCCGTGCACATTTGTCTTTTCCGGAGCAGAACTCTAAAGCCGTTCAATATTTCTTCACCACACTTGGCACATACATGGATCTGGTGGTGTACTGGTGCCTTTTGGTAGTTTTGGAATTCTGAATAAAATATTTTTGGCATTTCCATGGCAACAAGTTTGACTTAGCCTGAAATTGTGGTAGTGCTCTTTTCCGGAGCTGAACTCTAAAACCGTTCACTATTTCTTCACCAAATTTGGCACATAGATAGATCTGGTAGTGTACTTGTGCCTTTTGGTAGTTTTGGAATTCTGAATAAAATATTTTTGGCGTTTCAATGGCAACAAGTTCGACTTTGACTGAAATTAGTGGTAGTACTCTTTTCCGGAGCAGAACTCTAAAACCGTTCAATATGTCTTCACCAAACTTGGCACATAGATTGGTCTGGTGGTGTACTGGTGCCTTTTGGTAGTTTTGGAATTCTGAATAAAATATTTTTGGCATTTCCATGGCAACAAGTTTGACTTAGCCTGAAATTGGTGATAGTGCTGCTTTCTGGAGCAGAACTTTAAAAACCTATTCAATACTCTCCTTCCACTTTTCTATATACACACCTAAATATTTCACATAAACATAACTAGTAGACATAATCATGAAGAGTATTTTGCCACTGCGGGGGATATTGATGACTTTGTCTTCTTGTTTCAGTAATATATGTTCATTTCAGAGACTAGTTGTTAGTCTAGCAATACCCCTAAAGGTGCTGGTTAGAATTGGTCTTTTTAGCAACCCATGCTTGTCGTAAGAGGCGACTAATGGGATCAGATGGTCAGGCTCGCTCCCAATTACATAGATCAATGCTCATACTGTTGATCACTGGATTGTCTGGTCCTGAACTGATTATTTACAGACTGCCGCCATATAGCTGGAATATTGCATTGTGCAGCATTAAACAACAAACAAACAAAATTGTATACCATTTGCGTTTTTTAATGCTCACGCTATTGATCTCTTGATTGTATAGTCGTGGCTTGAATATTTACAGACCATCGTCGTATTGTTAAAATATTGCTGAATGTGTCATTAAACAACAAATATACTTACCCCACCCACTGATGCCATCTTCCTCCCTCCCTTGCAGTGGAACATCTCAGACTTCTTCTATCAGAACCGGCAGCGAATCAAGCAGGAACTGGATGAGAACCTGTCGGAGTCAGAACGCAATAAGCTCGGGATGCTGCCATTTGATGCCCTATGGATGTGCTTGTTCTCCAAGCTGGGCGACCTGTGCGTGGACCCCAGACCAGCAGTACGCAAGAGCGCTGGCCAGACTCTCTTCTCGACAATCTCAGCCCATGGTGCCTTACTTCAGCAAGAGACGTGGAAGAAAGTGTTGTGGCAGGTGGGCTTCGTAGAAGAGTGGGAATAAAATTCATGCGTACAATCGGTTTTGGATTCAGACAAGTGTTTTATATATTTCACAGATTTCCTTTGTTGTTTTGCAAAAAGCGAGAGGACAAGTTTGAAATTATGAATTGTTGTTGAATTAAGCATATGAATTTAGAGGACCAGTATTTCTTTTTGTAAAATTATAAAATATTGTTTAGCCCACATTACAAATTCATAACCGGATATTTAATTCTAAAGGTTATCATCGCCTGTATAAGTTAGAGAAGCACTCATAAAATGTCAGTAAACAGCCCTACAAAGTTACTAGCAAAGCACTGTACTGAAATTCTCACTGCAACAAAACTCTTATCTCCTTTGGCTCATTGGTAAAGGGGAGCACAACAGGCCCATTTGTATGGTGCTAACATTAGCTACTATAAGATTCAAACTCTTGTTTTCCCTTATAATTTGTCTTGGATTGTCATACTGGTACCATGCCATACACAAGGGTTTGACCAAAGTTGTAAATACTATATACCAAAATCAGGGCAGGACCACACTTCTCTCAATGAAGCTGGCAGTATGGACAGCAAAACATATTAAAAATATTGAAAAATATTTATTATTGATGACAAGTGTGGACATTATCAGAAACAGGACATTATAAGTAATCCATAGGTGATACTGTCGGAAAATATTCTGCTGTGCATTGTCTATTTTCATTCTTTAGACATGCATAAAGTACCCCCTTGTAATACAAACCAAAACAACCAATAACATACCAGTCAGTTTACATTACGTAGTCATAGAGACACTAATAAGCGGGCAATAATGGGCAATAAGCGATTGAGCTTCTCATGAAATTGTTGACCCTAAATGAGGAACGGGATTTTATGTGAAAAATTTGTTGTTCTAGTGAAAGTCTTTTCCCTGAAATATTTATTTAAAAATATCCTTTGTGTGTTACAGCAAAACAGCATTTTTGAAGTGTACTTGATTTGTTTCCAAGTTTCAGAATGTTACTGTCATTGTCTGTGTCTGCGTCTGCGTCTGTGTCTGTGTCTGCGTCTGTGTCTGTGTCTGCGTCTGTGTCTACGTCTGTGTCTGCCTCTGTGTCTGTGTCTGTGTCTGTGTCTGCGTCTGCGTCTGTGTCTGTGTCTTATCAAAACACAATTGCATTCATTTCTGCAAACCTGGTCTATGATTTTTATGTATTTATCATTATTATTTAGATTCCACATTTCATTATGATCATATGTGTCCCATATTTTACTTTTAAGTTCAGAACCAATCCAAAACAGGATTATACATATTTAAAGCATGCTCTATAGAACAAGAAGTGATTGGTTAGTCCACATTGCGAGCTGACACTTGTGTATTCAAACAAGGCTGTATCTTATACCGCGTTCATATAGTCATGAATCACTCATAAAATCTTTGCAGCTTTGCAAGGTTTTAGCAATTTCTGCATCTCACTTCAACTAACAACCTAAACTCTTGCTTCAACAGAGTCCAGCAGTATTATGAAAAAAAAAAGTTAATGAACAAAACTAAGTTTATATCTATGAATTGTACTGACTTGGCTCTTGAAGATCTTGGTCAGAATAGGTCTTCAGCAACCCATGTTTGTTATGTGCGGTGACCAGCGGGATCATTCGTGACCAACTCATGTTATTCCGGGACAAGCCGAATAGCGACTCTGGAAGGATTTCATATTGGCGCATGAACATCAGAACTACTTTAAACAGGAACGATAACTCTATTCTTGTTTGATTCCAATGGTACTTAATATCACCGAAGTAATCATACATTATATTGCAGTTTATGTTTTTAAAGTATTAAACCTTTTTGATACAACTAAAATAAGGAGAAAAATGTATTTGTTACAGACTTATTCTGACCTAATTATTACCAGATGTTCACCATATATTTCCAATAATATTTCTAAATAGGGTTTGATAATCACAAATGGGATTTGTTTTATTAAATATGTAAATAACATTTATTAAAGCTACATTAAATCCCAAAGCAGAAACTCAAAAATGACTTTAAACTATTTCTCAAACTGAACATTCATGTAACCTTGCTGTCATACCCCAAGTGGAATTTTGAATGAATTCGCTGAAAAATATATGAATGACCATAAAAAAAGCGTCAGACCAAAATATTCCCAAAGATGTGAAATATATGCCCAATATTAAAGATTAAAGTTGATTAGTTACATGCAGATATATGTCTAATATTATTGTTTTGAAACTCGTAGCGATTTATAATTACATTTCCTAAAATTGTTGGAAGCGCACTTACAATCTCCATAGCAAGCCGGCAAGATCGTCAGAAATACCCTCAGTTGGAAACATGAGAGCTGTAATGTCAACAAACGCATGTGCATGTATTTGAATCTCTCACCGTCAATCACATGATTCTTATCGAAAACTTCATACCAGGCAGCAAAATCCTGTTAGCTAAGTTCTTTGTACTTTCAATATGACGATATATATTTTTCATGATTTTTTAAACAATGACATAATGCCATAAACGATTTAAGTACTCAGGATTATTTTTACCAAAGCACCACAGTCCTTTTCGCGCGTTCTGATTGGTTTGTCGTATTTTCGCACATAACAAGCATCGAGAGGGGGACGAGTCTTCTTGGAGGTTACGGAGAGGGGCGAGTGGTGACAAATGCAGCGGGATCGGGTGGTCAGGGTCACAGACCAGATTGAGTCGTGTCATCATGCCCCAGATGCAAAGATCAATACTCATGGTGTTAAATACTAGATCTTCAAGTCCAGACTTATTTATTTACAGACTGCCGTCATATAGCTGGAATATTGCTGAGTGTGGCATTAAATTAAAAGTGAGTGAGTTTAGTTTTACGCCGCACTCAGCAATATTCCAGCTATATGGCGGCAGTCTGTAAATAATCCAGTCTGGACCAGACAATCCAGTGATCAACAGCATGATCATCGATCTGCCCAATTGGGAACCGATGACACATTAAATTAAAAACAAACAAACAAACAAATGCCAAGGCAACTGAGACATCCTTAGCGCTGTGATTCCTGATTCCGAGTGTCTTTTAGGCCAGAAGCTGTCATAATGGGTATAAATCAGGATTTGCCTTGAAAATGTTTCCAGCACTGTAATGTACCATTCTAGTGGGTTTCAATAAATTGATATAAGTAAGATCACGCCGAAGACCCGGGTTCGAATCCCCACATGGGCCTAATGTGTGAAGCCCATTTCTGGTGTCCCCCGCCGTGATGTTGCTGGAATATTGCTAAAAGCGGCGTAAAACCAAACTCAGTCAGTCAGTGATATAAGTAAGATTTGCTTTATTTAGAATTTCACACCACTAAATATTGTAGCTATAACAATCTTATGAAGAAAAATGATTGCAACAGTGTTGGCTTATTCAATATCTTATTGTAATATACATGGGCTTTTTTAATTCTTGTTCACTTTCCTCTTGACCATATATTTCCCAGTTTCTTGGCTCAAGCAAACAGTATGCACAAGGAGCAGTGTCATCTTGCTGAAGTAAAGCGTGAAATACTATAGAATAGAATGAACCATCCACTTATTATGTTGATGTTCTTGACGTTGCAGGTGCTGTTCCCCCTGCTAGAGAGGGTGCAGAAGTTCTCGAGCAGCGCATCAACTATAAAGGATGAGTTGTCAACCGGCAACATCCTCATCCACCACTCGCGTGACACCGCGGAGAAGCAGTGGGCGGAGACGCTGGCGTCCTCACTCTCGCCGGAGTAGCCAGGACCTTCAACTCCAAGAGGAAAATATTGCAACAACTTGGTATGGACATAGTTTATGCTGGAACTTTGTTGTTTTTTGCTGTAATCGGAATTATTACTGCTATTTCACAGCGACCTGAAAATGATCACATCTGGACTAGACAAACCAGCGATTGATATCATGAGCAAGACCATTGGTGTGTGATAGGATACATTCAACAAAGGCACCTAGTCAGATAACTCGATTCATCTTGTCTCCTCTTTCGACATTCATGAATTTGTGGTTTGCGATCCAGAGCGTCCCTTCAAGAAATCCCAACATTTTTACCTTTGTTTTTTGTTTAATGCTGAATTCAGCAATATTTCTGCAGCCTGTAAATAATAAACTTGTGATTGATATTCTGAGGAGCGATTCACATCTGAACATAGTGGGGGCGGTGGGGTAGCCTCATGGTTAATGCTTTCGCTCGTCACGCCCAAAACCTGGGTTGGATTCCTCACATGGGTGCGATGTGTGAAGCCCACTTCTGGTGTTCCCTGCCATGATATTGCTGAAATATTGCTAAAAGCGGCGTAAAATCATACTCACTCACTCAGTGATCTGTATTTGAAGCTGCCTGCTTCACAAGAGAAGTGGTTCTAACTACCTTCTGTCCCAGCAATGCATTCATTAGCAATACCGTAGTTTACATATGTTTATACAACTGCCAATCAGATTCATGGATTCTACAATGTCATGGGACCGCCTCTCCGTGGTGTAGTGGTTACAGCATCCGCCCGGGGAGCGGAAGGTCGCGTGTTCGAGCCCCGACCGTGTCATACTAAAAGACGTTAAATTATGGTACTTGTTGGTCCCTGCCTGGCGCTCGGCATTAATGGGTACAACAAGGACTGGTTGGCTCGGAGTCAGTTTAATGTGTCTGAGTGGGGTATTCATGCTTCACTGCGGCATGGTATATCAGTGGGCTAGCACTATAAAACCAGCTTCAGTCTGGGCTAGTACAAGCAGGTGCACATACATACACATGCATGCACGTCGTCATATGAGCGAAAATATTCTCAATTACGACATTAAACCCAATTTCACCTCACCTTACAATATCATGGCAGAGTCACATTGAAACCAAAGCAGGGTATTATTTAAATTGCCAACAGGCTGACAGCAATTAATGTCCGGTTACTTGATTGCTGTTAGGTGATTAAGTATCTCCTTGCAGTACTGTCTGCAATCACTCATCGTTCCGTCATTCATGTGTGGATGTGCAATGAGGCGGCCATTATCACCGATGCATGTTCCAGATGGGATATCGATACTTTGGGTCACTAGGGTAGAATTAGTTGGATTGGTTGGTTCTGTGATGCTTGCCGCCAGTAAACGACATTGTCACCTCTGGAATCTCAGTAAATGACGTATGAAGAAGGAAATATAAAATATACTTTTAGTCTGTGTATGTATAGATAGTGAAGTTTGAGTCAGTAAGATTCACTGTATTTTTTAACATTTCATAAGATAAGATGATGCACTCAAATACTAAATCAGTTTAATGAACCATATATTATGATACACTTGAACATTGAATATCTTGATCAGTAGATATTATGAGACACTCAAACACAAACACAAACATTCTCGTGATGATTCAAAGCAAATGTTATTATACATAGAGAATAAATGATGTCCCGTGTAATACCATATTTATGAAACGAGGGAATGGTTAGATACCAATACCATTCACGAGTTTCATCAATATGGTATTACATGGGACAAAGTTAAGTATTTTATTTATTACTCAACCAACAAAATATTATCGAACAAAGTACTTCTTTCCTCAGAATTCAATGAGTGTGATGACTCTCAGCTTTCTGTGAGTCAAGCAAGGTCTAAGACTATTGTGACAGAGGTATTGGCATTGTGACGTCATAACTGTAAACCACTTTGACGTCATAAGTACGGCATCGCGCGATGCTATTACCCAATGTGTAATAACATTGTAAAATTATTAAACAGTGATATCTTCAAAAGGTGAGTAATAGACTCAAATATTACAGTGATGGACTATGTTATCATACTCTCAAATTTTATGAAATTTTATAAAATCAGCAGTTTTTGCTTAATACTCAACTTAAGATGTGTCTCAAACCAAAACTATTAAAGTCGTTTTCAGTGCACAGTGAATATTGAGATGGTAACAGGCAGGCATTTAGACGGTGTTGGAGAACATCAAAGTGGTATGTCGATGGACAAGGTGATATATGAATCATTCGTTCTCAAACTTCATCGTGGTATTGTGATGTCTGATATATATGTTGATGAATGCCTTGTGGTGTCTGTCGGACAAATGCTTTACTGCCGACGAACATGCACCAGGAACCCTAATGCAGAGTCCCACTGCTCAAAGCAATCTTTGTGCTAAGACTTTTGTAAGTCTGTGTTAAAGTATGGGAGTTATGATCACCTAAGTGTAAAGATAGCTTTGTACAATGTGGAACCTTAATAACAGGGTTCAGACTGCTATGAATGTGTAAGATTTGCATAATTGTCATGCACTGACATCTTGTATCACTGTCGCCATTCATTCATAAAGGACTCCCAAAACACTTTGAAGTTTTTATAGTAGGTCTTTTCTTTTTAATTATCTGTTTACCGAAAACCTTTGGATTATGGTTGAAATAAAAAAATAATAATCGCATCCTTTTAATTTTTATGCATTTTTTTTGTGTGTGAAAATTGGAGTCTGTAGGATAAAAAAAATAGAACTTCAATTTTGTAACCTTTTGCACTGCGTAAAATATCTAAAAAATACACAATGAAAACTACTGGAACAAACATCCACTGTGTAGAGTATAGATGGAGCAATGAATTTTATTTGTCATGACTTCATCCGATTTTGTAATTAACTGCGTTTGATCGGATTTAACATTGAAATTTTTCACTGGAACTTTATTTTATTTAACTTAAAGGCTTGTGGAGTTAGTGGATACACAAAACTAATAACAAAAAGCTCCGACACCTTAGTTGGGCTGGTAGGAATTGGTTATACATTCTTGATTATGGTATATACAAGGTGAATTCGTGAATTCAGGGAAGAAGAGAATTCTTAATTCCTGGCTATTAAAGTTTGGGAATTGGTTAAATGATGATGATGATGATGATGATGATGATGATGATGATGATGATGATGACGACAGAAACTATTTAGAAACAACTTAGAATCACTTGAAGATTGTGTCCATAGAATCTTAAAACTATTCCTTATTTCCTCAAAAGACGTGTATAGTAGGTAGGTTGTTTTGTTGTTTAAAGCTGCATTCAGCCATATATCAGCCATAGGGCGGTGGTATATAATTAATCGAGTCTGGACCAGACAATCCAGTGATCAACATCATGGGCATCGATCTACGTAATTGGGATACAATGATATGTGTCAACCAAGTCAGCCAACCTGACCACCCGATCCTGTTACTTGTCTCGTATGACAAGCATGGGTTGCTGAAGACCTATTCTAACCCGGATCTTTACAGATTTTGTGTATAGTGGGAAATATTTCATTTTGGGATGACATGTGTTTACCTTTTTTCGTGAACACATGGTGTCATCAATAATTTTCAATGCTCCATTCATGTGATTTTCAATGCCCTTTTGTGTCATCGTATCCCAGTTGTGTAGATCGATGCTCATGCTGTTGATCATTAGATTACTGCTTATGCAAACTGTTGTGAGAAAGTGAGACTAGTGTTCCCTGGCTTCAGGGGCGGTGGGGTAGCCTAATGGTTAAAGCGTTGGCTCGTCATGACCGGGCATAGATCTTGAAGCCCATTTTATTATGATGAATGAATATAAAATGTCCTGATGTAGTAAACCTTTAGTGTCATGTTAGATGACTGCATAGATCTTGTATGTTCCATGATGTTGAATATGATCTGATCAGTAAACCCTTTATCGCTTGCACCCGCGGAAGGTCCAGGAGAATTGATCTTCAGTAACCCATGCTTGTCGTAAGAGGCGACTAACGTGATCGGGTGGTCAGACTCACTGACTTGTTTGACGCATGTCATCGTATCCCATTTGTGTAGATTGATGCTCATGCTGTTGATCACTGGATTGTCTGGTCCAGACTCAATTATTTATTATTTTCACATACCTGGAATATTGCTGAGGTCGGCGTAAAACTCACTCTCACTCACTCACTACTCATGTGTACTCACTCACTCACACACTCACTCAGTACTCGTGTGTACTCACTCAGTACTCGTGTGTACTCACTCACTCACTCAGTACGCGTGTGTACTCACTCACTCACGTTCTCATTGCAGGTGACTTCCCCCGAGCCTGGTCCCTACTGCTGGACCACATAGAATCCGCAGCAATGTGCCCCAACGCCGAGGTCTCCCTGGCAGCCCTGAAGAGCTTCCAGGAGATCCTGATAAACAGAGATCCATCCAAACCCGAGGATCTCCAGGACCTGACCTCAGACTTCATCCAGCCTCCTCTGGAGGAGGTCATCAACCGAACTGGTGATGTCAAATCACATGCCCACACCAAAAACCCAGAAAACACAACCGAATCAGAAAGTGATCTGTCTCTCTGGATGGCCGCCTGGAAGGTCTGGCTAAATATAGGTCAGATCGCAACACAGCCGCCGGAAAACGTGGACAAGTCACAAAAAGTTTACGTCCCTTCTCAACATTTCCTGACGGCTCTTCTTCAAACGTTTCCAGCTCTTTTCATGCACATCAAAATCCGTTTTGTAACTGCTGACTTACACAAGTTGTCGACAGTGTTGCGACGGGCGCTGTCAGTGCCTGTGCAGGGGGAGGCCTCGCCGTTCATTATCCCGACATATCCTGACGTCATCATTACACCACTACAAGAAACTGCCCTTCAAGTGGTCGATGTTCTCATTAGGGTAACGTCTGGTTTGACATCACCCCTCAACCTAGAGCAGTCTACATAGTACCTCTGTCACACGGCGTGTGAAATCTTACAGTCCCTTCAGCTTATTTTATATGTTGTTCATTTATTCATTTTACAAAATTTCTACATATTTGGATACAGAGGGCAAAATTAGGTAACTTTTATTGAGAAAAAAATGTAAAATATGAACGACTCAGAATTTTAACAGCTCTGTGATCAATGCCCTTGAAGTGTAAAGATATATTTTAATTCTCTTCATTGTTATAGGTGTAATAGCATGTCTAAATAATTATTGAAACCTATGTGCACACTGAGATGCCAGTCTGACTTCAGGATAACCATGTTTGTTGTGTTGTGTTAGACCGCCTCTGTGGTGTAGTGGTTACAGCGTCTGCCCGGAGAGCGGAAGGTCGCGGGTTCGATAACCGTCATACCAAAAAGACGTTAAAATATGGTACTTGTTGGTCCCTGCCTGGTGCTAGGCATTAATGGGTACAACAAGGACTTGTTGGCTCAGAGTCAGTATAATGTGTCTGAGTGGGGTATTCATGCTTCACTGTGGCATGGTATGTCAGTAAGCTTGCACTATAAAACCAACTTAAGTCTGGGCTAGTACAAGCAGCCACACACCTGCACGTTGTCATATGAGCAAAATATTCTCAAGTGCGACGTTAAACCCCACTTCACCTCACCTGTTGTGTTGTGTTTTGGGTGTGTTGTAGTCTGCTGCTGCTGACAATAAGGGAGGTAACTCTAACCAGTTCCTGTTCTATTTATAGGTTACGCGATCTCACGTATCATCTTTACATAAGTATCAATGATATTGTAGGTATATATGAATTGTGACAGTAGTGATGGGTATAGGATTTGTCCTGGATGGGTGGGTGGTGGGTGGTGTGTTTTAGTGCCTCACCCACTGGACTAGATATTGGTATTTCAGACTGTGAAGACCGGCCCCGACTCGATGCAGTCCATGTACCCGGACATCTTCAACCAGCTGCTGACCTTCATCCAGTATGGAGTCCGAGCACCCAAATATGGCGGCATGGAAACAAAAGCTTTTGGCACAGTCAAGGGTCCACAGGTGATGAAGGAAAACGTCATCTTGCATGAACACAAACCTACTTCCCTGACACAATTCTCTGTAGATGAACAGACTCTGTCCCTGTTGTAATGAAACTGAAATTATGTTAACATGCAGCAAAAAATTGAAAATTAACACATTGTTTCAAAATATCACCAACAGTTGGGTAGCCAAGTGGTTAAAGTGTTCACCCATCACGCTGAAGACCCGGGTTTGGTTCAATGCATGGGTGTGTGTGTGTGTGTGTGTGTGTGTGTGTGAAATTGAAACATTGTTTTAAAATATCACCAACGGTGGGGTAGCCTAGTGGTTAATTGGTTTGATCGTCAAGCCGAAGACCTTGGTTCTATTCCCCACATGTGCACAATGTCTTAAATTCAGCAATTCTAACACGTTATTGCTTTGTGCCACTTATGGATTCAGAAGGGTACAGGAAGTGCAACTACCCCCACCCCATTGATTCCAGACACCTGGTGTCAACCTCACCCTCTAACGGGGGGGGGCCGCCTCCGTGGTGTAGTGGTTAGAGCGTCCGCCCGGAGAGCGGAAGGTCGTGGGTTCCATCCCCAACCGCATCATACCAAAAGACGTTCAAATATGGTACTTGTTGGTCCCTGCCTAGCGCTCGGCATTAATGGGTACAACAAGGACTGGTCGGCTCGGAGTCAGTATAATGTGTCTGAGTGGGGTATTCCTGCTTCACTGCGGCATGGTATCTCAGTGGGCTAGCACTATAAAACCAGTCTGGGCTAGTACAAGCAGCCATACACATACACACGCATGCACGTCGTCATATGAGCGAAATATTCTCAAGCACGACGTTAAACCCAATTTCACCTCACCTCACCTCTAACGGGGGAAGTGTGGTAGCCTAGTGGTTAAAGCATTTGCTTATCATGCCAAAGACCCGGGTTTGATTCCCCACATCGGTACAATGTGTGAAGCCCATTTCTAGTGTCCCCTGCCGTAATATTGCTGGAATATTGCTAAAAGTGGCATAAAACTAAACTCACTCACTCACTCATCCTCTCTATCAGCTACATTTCTTCACTTTTCAAACGAATTCCTTCTGACAGCATCCATCATACTGTTTACTAAGCTATAATCTTAAAACATTTTCCAGTTTTTAAGATAATATTTGATTCATTTAGACACTGCTTTGAAAAAAAGGAGAAATGTTTCAGGTTGACTGGGTAACGATGAACTTTGTTCCCTTCTCTGAAAAAGCTGTGGAAATGGTGGTGGACCTGTATCGACAGAACGCCAAACACCCAGCCGTCATCAACGCCCATGTTCTCCAGAACATCATCAAGGTAAACCATTCATGTTGTTCAAACAAACACAGAAGGAGCTCTTTGTAACCATAAGGACCTATTCCACAAACCTCTATTGACATGACATCAATCCCTGATGTAGGCGTAAAATATATGTAGAATACTTTCTCATGTGTCTCTTTTAAGGTGTTGTGATTAAAATATGACCGTTTTTACTCAGAAACATTGGCATCATGAAAATACAGAGCAACAATTGCTTGTGGAATGGGCCAATAAAGTGAAAATGCTAAAATATTTAAATTTCACTTTACAAGAATATTTGATCTCAAACATGACATTTTGATTTTGTTTGTGATAATATGTGTCATAATATAAGTAATGTTTCTTGAAGTAGCAATCACTTTCTATGCTTTACTTAAGCTTTATAGATATTTTTTCGTCACGACATTTCCTGTGCAATGAATACCAATAAACATTCACTCAAAGTTGTGTGTTTGTCAGTATTATTTATCCAAGATTTGCAAGTTAATATTAGAATATATTTAACCCTCTTTGTACCCAAAAGTTATACGATGAAGTTTTTATCTTCTCCATATTCAAGAAATCTAAACTTGTAAATGTCACTCTTCACAGTATCATAACAATATGATTGTTGCATTAGTCAACAAAGAAAAGTGTTTGTTGTCTTTTCAAGAATATTTCCTATTTGTAAATCCCTGTTACATAATCACTTATGTATTCTGGCTTATGAGTTGTCAGAGTAAGATATGAAGATTTTGAAAAAACAAAGGCAACATCTTTTATTAATTTTATTATTTTAAAGGCAGAAATTTGTAAAGAACTATAGTTATAATGACTCAGAAGTTTACCATTGACAAAGACACTTTTGATATTGGAATTCCCACTGTTTGTGAAAGTAATAAATATTCTTGCGCGTATGTCAATGAACTGTGCCAGACCTAAAAAGTCCTGATGACATGTTCTCATCTTTCCATATGAAACAATTCATTGAGATATCACTGTCATTGTTGGTTGTGATTTCCTCTGTCCATCATTTAGTCCACACAGACATGTTACTCAGGTAAACGGCTTTTCCATTCACTGTCAGCCAGACAACTGTCTATTATACCGTGATACCTCGGTAAGGGCTTACATCATAACGATCATCAGCACGTGCCCAATGTCTTCCTTTTCTGGATAACCGAGCCCGTGGTAGTAGCATTCACTGTTGACATGCCAAAACCCATCCAGCCATCCTTACAGAATGGCAGACAAATTGCTGGAACAAAATACCTCCTTCGCTTCTGAGCTATCTCATTTTCATTAGCCCTGTAATCTTTATCCTATCCCAAATTTATCCTAAAATGATTCTAATGACGTGAGCAAATTAAGACCCGATCTTGTGGATTGCGGGCAGGTGTTGTCTGTTTACACCCTGTCTGTGAGGTCAGTTGAAGGTCAGAAGTATTCTGCAGTTGTCATTGTCGTCTGCGTAATGGAGCAGACGTACTAAGTCTTCGCAATCATTGTGTCATTTCCCCTAAGAGAGCAAACGAAGAGTGAGGGTTGTCCGCTTCTAAAAATATGATCCAGCGATCCCGGTATTGTATCTAAAAATACTTGGCCATCTGCATGGAGAAGACTTGGTAGGATGTTTGATCAGGGAGAAGAATAGAGCCAATTAAATCTTCGTTTGGGCCCCTGAAAGTTTGTAAGTGCATCTGCCTGAACAATTTCAGATGTGGTCAATTTGTTTACGGTTGGTGATATAACATCTTGAGAGAGGTCTGTTGTGCTTGACAGCTGTCGTAACAATGTCCACCTCCCACTGACCACTCGGCCGTGACATAACGACAACAGAAATATACCACGCACATCCATAGCTTTCAGAAGCTCTCGCCATCAAACAGTCGAAACCAAGGCCCATCAACATCAAAAGCAATTCTTTTGGATCAACATCAAACAGAAAAAATGGCTATTACCTAACAAAACTTGATACAGATAAAGATATATTTCTTCAACATCTATAGCTAAGTTAGTTTGGCATGACATGACTCCAAGACACCTTCATGATATGAGCTGTTCAGATGGACCATAGTATGTAATATCCAACTAGTGATAAATGAAGCTGACTGTATAAATGAAGACACATATTGTGCTAAAATTGAACTATTGTATTTCAGGAGTTTATATTTATATGAGATATTTACCATGAAGATCTTAAATAAAAAATTTGACTTTGGCAACACAAAACTGACAAGATGTGATTCTCATATGCTGCAACTTTGGCAGATGAAGATTATCTGTATCCAAGACCTAGAGGCTAAATTTAAAAGAAGTCCAAATTAAGAATGATTTGGCAAGTCGAGGTTGCTTCAGCTCTAAGGATTGCACTGGGCTTCATTTGAATTTTATTTTTAATTATTTTATTTATTTTATATGTATTTTATAACAAGGTTTTTCATTGAGTAAATGTGACTGATGAAGATTAATCATATGTACCTTGGACTCTTCAGTCACAAGGCCTTTGAACTCTTGGTAATACATATTGGAGTTCTACTCCAGATTTCATGGTCCCAGGATGACTGCTGTGTAAACAGCACATAATATACAAACCTCTGTGATATTGCAGCATCTTAAATGTCACTTAAAGTTATCATCCAACATTGACTGTTATCAGGACAGGAATATCAAGATAATTTTACAAATATATATGATATATATTGTTATCAGGACAGGAATGTCAAGATAATTTTACAAATATATATGATATATATTGTTACCAGGACAGGAATATCAAGATAATTTTACAAATATATTTGATATATATTGATAATTTTACAAATATATATGATATATATTGTTATCAGGACAAGAATATCAAGATAATTTTACAAATATATATGATATATATTGTTATCAGGACAAGAATATCAAGATAATTTTACAAATATATATGATATATATTGTTACCAGGACATAGATCCTCGAACATTCAGCTGCTTTCCTGTGGAACTTTCTCCCTACAGACATTAAATCTGCTCCAATTCTCTCAAGTTTTAAATCTCATCTAGAGACATTTCTTTTTCTTCGCTTCTGACTGTCTTGTGTTTACGCTTAGAGCATGGCCAAGTGTTGTGGAGTCAAGCGCATTACAAATGATCTGTATTATTATTATCATTATTATTAATATCAAGGTGAGGTTGCAAATATATATTACATATATTGTTATCAGGACAGGAATATCAAGATAATTTTACAAATATATATGATATATATATTGTTACCAGGACATAGATCCTCGAACATTCAGCTGCTTTCCTGTGGAACTTTCTCCCTACAGACATTAAATCTGCTCCAATTCTCTCAAGTTTTAAATCTCATCTAGAGACATTTCTTTTTCTTCGCTTCTGACTGTCTTGTGTTTACGCTTAGAGCATGGCCAAGTGTTGTGGAGTCAAGCGCATTACAAATGATCTATATTATTATTATCATTATTATTAATATCAAGATATGTTTACAAATATATATTACATATCTTGTTATCAGGACAGGAATATCAAGATAATTTTATAAATGTATATTCTTCAATTTTATGAATGTCAGTCATTCCTTTCTCTTATACATCCGATTGGCTTTGGATAATATTTCTGAATATCCTTAATTTTTACGTTTAAGCAACATTTTCACAGGCATTATGAAGCCAAATTCCCTCTCCTTTGATAAAAACAAAATGGCCATTCTGTCAAGACTGTCCATCTGTAATGAAGTATACCCCAAGCATCCAAAGTTATTTTGGGATTCAGATTTCTGTTTGAACAAATACACTATGGTTGATTTTATGGGTGTATGACACTGAATAAATAATATGAGATAAATATATATTCTCTTTAAGGTCAATTAATACAGGCATAAGGTATCTCCTTAACCCACTTGTTCTTCAGCAGAACAGACATGTTCCAACAGTGTTAGATATAATATGTTTCAGAATCTACAGTATACACCTAGGAGATTAATATCAGCTTTCTTGCTCTAAGAAATCTGCCTTACGTTAAAGTGAGTGAGTTGGGTTTTATGTCGCTTTTAGCAATATTCCAGTAATATCATGGCGGGGACACCAGAAATGGGCTTCACTCATTGTACCCATATTGGACTGACTGACTGACTGACTGACTGACTGAGTTTGGGTTTACCCCGCTTTTAGCAATATTCCAGCAATATTATGGCAGGGACACCAGAAATGAGCTTCACACATTGTACCCATGTGGGGATTCGAACCCGGTCTTCGGCGTGACGAGCCAACACTTTAACCATTAGGCTACCCCACCACCCCTATCCATATTGGAATTGAACCTGGGCCTTTATTGTGATGAGCAAATGCTTAACCCCACACTCACCTTATGTTAAAGGTAACTTATGACAAGAGGGACTGTCTTGTTTTTGTCAGGTTGACTGCATGTTACAGATTAAGGAGTTAGAATGAACAAAACACTTGATAGATTGGCTTGTACGGTGTCTGAAATATATGAAGATTACACATATAATTCTTCTTGTAATGAAGACAAAGAGTCAAAACAAATCATGTTTTAGAATATGTGAAAAAATATATTAAGTATTTTTAAACAATGTGTTAACAGCCGCAGTATTCAAAGCATATGAAATACAATGTCAGTTCTGTTCACAGTGTGTTTTATGACAGAACTAAGTTTAACATGATATTCACATGGAATAATTTCCCAAAATGGCAAGTTTAAGCAGAATGAGAGCTAGGCTACATCTTACCAAAGGAAAATGAGCCAAGTTTTTATAGAATATAATAAAAATAATTTACTCCCAAAATTAAAGTGTAATTTAATTTTAACTTAAATATTTAATTGTAGTTTATCTCGAAGCAACTAATTGAATTAATTGTGAAATTCTCTGATGATAAACAATTGAACATAATGAGCATAATCATAATAATACTAGGAATGAGAAAAACTGAACATTTTTACATAGATGCTCACCTTATAAATGAAAGTATTTAAAAAAGAGTATTT